ACACAAACTGCTACATAGGAAAACTAAGGTATAACTCAATTCAAACCATTTTTGTCTGATTTATTTGTACACTTATTCTCGTATAGTTACAAACCTTTAGATAAAAAGAATCCATGGCTCCTCTTTTTAGTGAAAGCTCTGAAATTATGAAACCCTTTCAAAGCCTCTTCAGATTATATTTAAAAATGTCATCATGCTAAACAAGTGGTTCTCAAACCTGGACCTGACATAGTTATAAGAGAAAAAGCACTGGTGTATCTAATAACACTAATGACAGCTCTGTTCTATTTGAGTGACAGTAAGCCCCACCACTAAGCTAGCATGCATAATACCAGCGCCCTGGTACTAAAACACCTGAAATGGAATGGATCCACAATTAATATTAGTATCAACAGCTGTTCCTGCTATGACATGTCAAAAAATCTACCATAAAAAGGTCTCTCAGTGGATTTCTATCCCATCAGCTACTTCATTGCATTCATCCGTCACCCTAGGGTGTGAATTGGCCAGGCATTCTGGCTTGACTAGGAAAAGTACTGTAAGTAATGTGTCCTGTTAAGCCATGACAATGTAACAGTCAGTTTTTCCTACTGTAACCCGTCAAAATGTCTTTCATGAGAAAGGCCTATTATCGGGTAAGATGCTACAGTATGTTACTCATCTGGTCCCCAGCAAGCATAGAAGTCAAGGGATGAATTGACGCTGAAATCAAGCAGCACTCACAACCAAGAGACTTTTTTGACGGCAGACATTGTGACGTGTCATAGCAGGAAAAGCACAGGTGGCACCAACCTTAAAAAAGCTGCATTTCATTTAGGTCTCCCAGTCTTAGGGCTCTGGTAATGTGCCTGCTGGCTCAGTGGTAATAAGGCTACTGGACCAGAGCCATTGTTAATGTTATTAGTAACACATGTGCCTTTCCTGTTTCCTGACAAGTAAAATCAACAAAAGACTAATCAAAGAGTGTTGCCCTTATTAAAATTATTAAATTGCTTAAGGTCTCTCTATTTTTTCACTTCCACCTGTCCACAATGCAGCACTGTAAATGAACAGAAAATGAAAGCAGAGGATTCACAAGTTCAACTTTGTAGCCAGGGTTCCTTGTCATACTGCACCCACAGGTTTCATGGTGCAGTGAATTGTGGGATACACAGTTCTAAAAACCATATGTGGCACATTTGAAATTTAACCTGTGAAAATATGTTAAAATCACATGTTAAGCACATGGGAAACATTGTTTTGGAACATCTTCGTGGTGTAATGTGCAAAGCCCATTTCCCATGTGAAACCGATGGGATTACATGTTATCCACATCTACACAATACTCCATTTTACTACATATTTCCTACATGTTTCCTACATGGGAAATTCATGTGGCTTTTCTGTAAGGGAGATTTGTGAAGGCAAAGATTTGACATGGAAGTGAACACACCCCATTGCTGTTCTTCCTAATTCTGGCTCGACATTCTCATCTTTCATGTGATAGATCATGTCAGAACTTGTATACCTGATAAGGTGAATGTGTTTCAGGTCCAATGTTCTGGGTACAAAGTTTACAGTCTATGATGGAGGTGAAAACCCTGAGAAAAAGCCTTTCATCAAAGAGTGTGAATCAGTGCGGCAAGAGCTGGCAGCCATATGCTATGTGAGTCCAAACTTACTCACTTAACATCCCACTTAACACAGTATATCAAGAGATAAAACCTATAACACAATTGGCTATCATGTTCCAGGAGACGAATGTGCTGGGATTTAAGGGTCCCAGGAAAATGACAGTGATCATCCCTGGCATGCTGGAGAACGATGAAAGAGTGTCCATTCGTCCAAAGAATGTAAGTTTAATAACATAATCCTCACTTTTTTAAACCGCCGATGGTGTAGCGTAAATGTGAACATTTTCAAAGGAACTGACATTTTACCTTGTTATAGGAACTAGAGACTCTACTGATCCGCCATGTGAACGGCAACACAGACAAACTGGTCACCCTGGTGAACAAATCTCCGAGCTGGAACGAGCAGACTCAGTCATATGTGCTTAACTTCCATGGACGTGTCACCCAGGCCTCCGTCAAGAACTTCCAGATCATCCACCCTGACAATGGTAAGTTGTGACTGACTTATTGTCTTTCATCAAACACAAGAAAAACAGCCGTCTTGACTTTATTCTCAACACAGTCACCTCTCTTTCTGTCCCCCAACCCTTCAACGTGTTTTCCAGAGGATTACATAGTGATGCAGTTTGGCCGTGTAGCAGAGGACGTCTTCTCTATGGATTACAGTTTCCCCATGTGTGCCCTGCAAGCCTTTGCCATTACCTTGTCGTCCTTTGACGGGAAACTGGCTTGTGAGTGACCAATGCTGGTGTGCCTCAAGTGCTTATCTACATCACTGATCTAGATAGAAGCTTAGTTAAAACTATACCCATCCTTTTCCACTGGGTGATTTTTCATGTTTTGTACCCTGGTGCATTGTTACACTTCGTATACGCTAAACGGGGAAAAATATCACAGACTTAGACTTCAGAGGAGACTTGTTTTATAGGTCCAGTATTATTTTACCACTGAGTTTATTTATAAGTGGAAGCAAAGTCATTTAAGTTATTTCAAGTAAAATTAAATGGTCTCTCTTTTTATATTTGCCAGATGTGTAAAGGATTCATGCAATCAAAATATCGTGGACAACTGTGTAAACACAACAGTGAAATATTAAATGATAATAATACAAGGTTTGGACGTCTTTATTTTGAATGTGAAAGATAGTGCTGTAGTGCGTGTACTTCAGTGTCTACTTGGTGAGTTTGAATACTAAAATGTTTTTCTTTGGCATTTACTAGAACAGAATCTTAACCAGCAAAATATTCCTCCAAAACCTTGACACAGACAATTTTATGCTTCCATAGCCATCTCCTTAGATCTTCTTCTGTCACATTTCATGAAATTTTGAAGCCAGTAACATCTCTTGCTGTAATCTTTAGAGTCTTTATCACAAAAAAAGGAAAACATGTTTATCAAAATACTAAAAAAATGAAAAAAGTACCTATATCAGATGTCTCAGAACCGCAACAAGTTGCAGATAGAGCTAACCGTATCAGGGTTTCTGCTATTGCACAATACAGAGACTTCTCACAAGAGCTTCACTGCTGAGCTTAAGCATGTTTTCAACACAAGTTCACACTGCTTCACATAGGGGGACAGCAAGTCATTTAGGTTTCAACAAATAAAAATAGGCCTCTGTTAGTGCACTGATATTTTTGAAAGCAAAAACCCAATTTAAACTGAAACCTGTTATCACATTGACATGTCTATCTGTGTGGTGTCATGGTGTATACTTGTTTCCTGTTCGAATGCTATTCAAGTTTAATACAGTTATATAAAAAAAGAATGACTAGTTGAAGTGACAAACAATACGATGCTCCCTTGGACCACAAATTAACAGACTTGCAAATTGCATTTAATCACAAATTGTACTTTGATCTAATCAGATGGTAAATGCTTAAACCAAACAAGACTGGCATTCAGTGCCAGCTTGCTAAGATGACTTCCTCTTGATCTGTTTCAGATTACTTCATGCACTATGTACAGCCTAACAAAGTGACAAATAGTCACTATGTTTACAGACTCCAAATAAACAAAATCACAAACCTAAGAGCAAGACAGCGTCAGCTCAGAACCTTCGCCACTGTGAAAGTAAAACAGTGTGAATCAATAGTTTGATCATTTATTCAATAACTATTACATGCCTTTCTCAGTTAAATTAAATTAAATTCAAAGGGGCTTTAATGGCATCGGGGGTTTGTGTTGTTATTTCATGGGTGTCGGGTGTCAGACAATTTCCACAACACCACACAACCATCATTCGGCTGATTTCCTGTCACTGCTTAACACATTGCACAACACTCCCTTGTAAGTTACACAATAATTAATACATTCCAATTTCAGGTTACGCTGCTTAGAAACACTAACATGAATTGTATACCTCGACGTATGTCTAGCTCTCCAGATACTATAGTGCAACTGCTGCAGATATTAAGCAAAAATACATTCACTGGCGAGCTATGTGAGTCACTTTAGCATGTACAAATAAACTTAAAGATGTGTTTTATCAGTTCAGAGTTTAAATAGTTAAATAATAGTATATATATATATATATATATATATATATATATATATATATAGTAATATATATATAATAGTATATCCATTTTAGATGGATATACCTGTATCAGTGAAGAGAAATTCTGAATTTATTTTTCAAAATAATTACAAATGTGATATTTAGGATATTCAATGTAATTGTTTGTTACGTATGGACGAAGATAGTTGCTGTACAAACCAAATAAAAATGAAATCGTCCTAAAAGTAACTACTGTGTAAATAAGGATATATACAGAAATCAAAGATTTCTATGTGCACAATCACATAACTAATGGCCATAGAAATGGGTTTGTTTTAGTGGTATTACATTTCATGTGAAATAGGTCAATTTAGAGATTATACAGCAGAGGGACAGTCGAGTTTATAGAGCTTGAGAGAGAAGTTTGTGCAGCAATTTATGTTAAGTGACATGTTTAGTTTCACCATTGCATGTGTATCTTTGGTGTCTTATCAGCTCATCAATCAAAATCAATCTCACCACAGTGCTGATATGACATGAATATATTCCAGGTTTGTGCCTATTCAGTAGTTTCCTTAGTTCACGATGGACTGTCTCAACAAAAAGGCAAAACATTATCAGAGTCAGAGAATTTCAGATATTGTATTTTAACTGGCTTCTATGATGATGAGTAAATGTACTGTTGTTCAACCACATGCCAAAGTTAGTGCACATTATGATAGATTTTGTGGCTGTGATGTGATACTCAAGCCTTACCCCTTTTACACACACTTTCCATTTACAACTGCTGTCTCAAGAAAGCACATCTTCCCCTACAAGTGACGTGAGTGATAGCGATCAGTGTGAAAACTGACTGAAACCTCCCTCTCTCAGTCTTGATTAAAAACAGACTGAGAGCTTCAGAGCAGCATGACTTCAGTGAGACATCTCAGGACTGACGCGATGTCTGGACCGTCTGGTGTGATGGAATGCCGCTTTCCACCGAGGCTGCTGATCACATTTCTGCTCGTATCTACTAACACTGCCTGTCTCTACGGACATCTTACCACAGGTTAAGTATTTGCCAGTACGGCCTATTTTTAAAAATGTGATTTTCCGTCTATCCACAGAAAAAAATCTAAAATCCTCATCAAGATTGTTTGGATTGTCCCTCATCTGTACATTGCTTGGGACAAAAGCCAAATGAATAACTGTAAAATGTAACACTAAAAAAGTTAGCGAGACAAATTAGCTCAGAGGGTTGGGTTTGTTATCCATTTAACTGACTCTGATGAGGACCTCAGCTATAGTCAATATGACCTTTGACCTTCTGGAAAAAGTCTGCTATGTTTTCTTATTTTAAAGTGAAGTGCCTACTACCTTATTATTATTAATGTTTTTTATACTAATAGATAGAGCTGAAGAGTTGGTGGCTTATTGTAAAGTGTAAAAACATGTACAAGGAACAAGGTTGTTTATTAGTCATTATACAGCACAAGGCTGCATAACAAAACAAAAATTGTAGTTCCTTCATGCTACACACGCAACATATAATTAAGTAAATAAATTAAAATATGGTAACATAAAATAAAATAAAACAATATATAGTTATTTATATACATACACACGTATACACCCTGAACATTCCACGATGCATTTTTTAAATTTGCATCGTGTAATGTAAACAGCAGCAACTAGATGCTAATATGAAAGTTTCATCTTCACAATAAACAGTCTGACATTTGGGAAACAGAGTCCATCTTGACTGCGTTTGTGCCCCAAGCCACTTCCTCTCACCTTGCCAGAGTCTTGTGATGTCAGTATTGTCATATCTTTAGATGCTGGTGAGTCAATAAATGTATTTATTTTTGTCATTTTACAATTAAAGTATAGGTTCCCATTTTTAAAAGTCTATCCTAAAACAAATCTCACATGCCCATATTTATAATGAAAGCATTATTGGTCACTGTAATTACTCCTCATGTCCCTACTGGCCTCAAAGAGATCCTCTCTAAAATACAAATACAAAGAGAATAATTTACCAACCAAAGCGATCCTTAACTTAAATCAACCCTCACAACCCAACAAACCCAAAATTAAAGCATTAATAAAAAATTTTTTATCCTAAGTAAGAACAATTTATAAGTCTTATGGAGCAATTCGCCATATTTTAAAGAGGTCTGATAAGTAGTGCAATGAAAGTCAGAGGTTAGAGGTCGCATCAGGGTTAAAGTTATAAAGTGACACTTTGGTAAAAACTCTCATTTGACTGATACTCCAAATAAAACATTGTCTGTACATTTTTTAAGGTGTGGACCCCATTCTTCATTGTGTAAACGATTACCTGTTCACCATCAACTGCTCCCTGAGCGTTGCAGGGAACACCTCAGACAGCAACAGCTCCTATTGGCTCACTTTCATTAAAACAACAGAAAAGTGAGGCCCTTTTTTTTACTTGCACATATTGGATTACCTTAAATGTGATGATGATGTTTTGTCTCGTTACTGCCTTGTGCAGAAAGAAGTTTGTGTGTATGCTGACAAACACCAACGGGGATTACTTCTGTTCTGTCAAAACATCCGAGTCAATGCCTGATGACTACGCAGTGACCTTTGACGATACAGTTACCTTTGAAATCTCGCTTTGCCACAACAAGAGTAATGGGTCTGAAAGCTGTGAGTGTCTGGATAAAGAATACACGCCTTATTCTAACAGTAAGGGAACATATTGGTCTGTTCTCGTGACCAGACACAAGAACATGTATTCATATATATTCAGAATCAATCCATGTCTGCCTTTTTAATTAAACCTGCCTTTGGTGTATGTTTGTCTTCAGTAAAACCAAACGCTCCGTGCTGCCTCACCATTAGCCACAACTCAAATCAACACCACTTCACCTGGAAAAGCACCTATGAGAACTACACTTTTTTCACCGATCTGATCAGTGACCTGAAGTATCAGCTGCATTACTACAAAAGAGGAGACAAACATAACGTAAGATTCAGTTATGAACAAGCAAGAATGGGCACGTCTTTCTTGGTGTGAATCAGAGAAACAGTTCTTGCCATTTAGAGGCAGTTCGCATCCACTGGCTAATCAATCATTGACCAATGGATTAATCTATAACATGGAAATTGATGTATTAAAGGTTAAACCAGATATTTACAATTGAATAATTTAAAGGTGAGTGAAAACACAGCAGTAATCAACAATACAAAAATAAGTTTTGGAATCAATTACTGGTGCCATTTTGGTCTGATTAGATTTTTGACGATGTTCCAGGGGTATGATCCAAACTGCTGTCAATAATTTCACAGGCTCATTTTTCTTTTCACTGGGTTTCTTCCCATGACAGCTCTGCTCTGAGCTGCCAAGATAACATTTTTAAATGAGAAACTACGTCAGCGACTTCATCAGTGGTCAGCTCAGTGTGGCCACTGTCTGTGGGTGACGCTGTGACTTTATTTGGGCCATAAGTCTTTTCCACTGCAGATATTTTGACTTGTCATGGCAAGAAAAGTTCACATTTAACTGAGAACACAGTGATGGCGCTATTCCACTCTACTGTCCCAGTAAGCATGGCTGGATTAACCTGTTATGGGGGTTAACGTTTGCTGTTGTGCCCCTACTGAACACGCTCTTAGTTTCTTATAATATACTAATAAAATGCTCCTAAAACTAGATTTTGACACAAGACCCCTCTACAAAACAGCGATTCAAGATTAAGTAATAATGCAGTACTGGAGGTGATTGATGTTGTACTGAAATAATACAATTTCTTGAAGACAAAAAAACCCCACATTTATTCAAATGACCAAAAGGGCTCCTGAGTCAGGCAAAACACCAGTGCTGAACCTGCCACAGCTGACTGAAATTAAGCTGTTATTGGTTTCACCCGCACTTTTCCTTCTGTGATGATATCAAAAATATTTGCAGTTAAAAAAGTTTCGCCAGGATTTGTACCTTTGTGGAAAAGATTGACTGCCCTTTACATCCCATCTCTGAGGACAGTCCAAGTTAAAAATGGTAATAGATAAAGCAATTGAGATTCTAATCATAAGTATCTTTTAAAGTTAACATTAAAAAATATTTACCACACATTCTTTTTAACAATTTGTTTTAATAAATTTTTTTTTTAGCAAATTGTTGATTTCATCTATTGCTCTGCTCCTATATCTGCACTTTTCTTGTGTAACTGTGAATAACTGTCCTGTCATATTACAGTATCTGTTAACTATTAAATTGATTTGTTTGAGCACAAATAGGCATCCATACGGGATATTTCTCTCCATTACATACTGCCACTACTCTTATCTCTTTATTTCAGGTGGTATCACATGATATTAACACCGACAGTACGAATTATTCTGTGGATGATTATGAATTTGTGCCAGACACTGAGTACGCTGCCAGAGTGCGGTCCAGTCCTAATGAGGCCTTTTACATGGGAGAGTGGAGTGACTGGTCCTCAGAGGTTCACTGGAAGACGGAGTCAGCAGAGAATGGTGAGTCTCTCCCCCCGACAGACAGCTGGATCCAAGATTAATCAAGAGGATCTTCATCTTAAAGGCAACTTGTTAAGAAAACAGCTACTGTAAATCAATTTCTTTCATGTGTATTCCAACTTTTGAAATCCCCCCCCTTTGTGTCTAGGATTACACTTTTTTAAATATTTTCTACTCTATGTTGGTCTATACAGATCTCCAGCCACACACATTTGTTTCTGGACTGGGTAAGGTGTTCATAGCCTTATGTGTGATGGTGCCATTTGTCTTACTTCTATGCTATGCTCCGGTTAAAAAGTAAGGTTCTCCTCCAGCTTGATGCCATACCACAATATATCAAATGGCTTTTCCTACAACTAATATACACTAAATAGTATCTTTATATTCCTCACACTTACAGGTGGAGGCAAAGTGCCTTCATCCCAACTCCAGCACCCTATTTCCACACCCTGTACAGTGACTGCCAGGGAGATTTCAAGGTAAATTTAGCTCAACACAGAAATACTCACCATTATCTCATGAGACTGTCCCTGAACATGACTGTGATTACAGAGCTGGGTGGTTACACAAGAAAACACAGCAGACATGATGAAAGCAGAGGAAACTCTCCAAATTGACACGCTAGCCGAGTGTGCAGATCTCCAGGAGGAAGCGTGTCCCCACTTCCACCACCAGTTAATGGAGGCCAGCACGTACTGCAATATAGCAAGCCCAGGCTGTTCTACTTCTCTCCTGGGCATCCCGTACGCTGTGAGCACCATGACTCCACTGCCAGATTTAGAGGGCTCGGGCATGAGTCTGACCTTCAGCTCACAGCCAGGGAGCCCAGCTGAAGGAGACTCAGGGTGTTGGCTCTGCAGCCATACGTCCCTGGAGAAGGACCCTCCCTGGTCCTGCAAGGAATACTGCACCCTGAGTACCTTCCAGCAGACTAGTCCAGTCAAAGCAGAGCACCATGGGAGCTCTTCAAAATCCTGCCCAACAGGGATCATCAGAGTGGACGCCATCACTGAAGCATAAGCTGATGTGTTTTTATGTAGCAACTGGACAGTAAGATAGTGCGAAGCTCAACTTTAAATAACATTGAGCCTAAAATTTCAACTGCACAATATATTATTCTAAATAATTACTTCAAGCTAAAAATAACTATAGTACACTTCACTTTTTCTTCACATTATGTTATATAGGGAACACATTTGTAAAATGTTTCCAGCACATTATGTATAATGTTGATTATATAAAATACTAATTGCACAAGCTTTTGCTTGCACCAAGTCAGTAAATTGTGTAGAGGAACTGTAAACAAAACAGTTCTTACAGACCTTTGACTTTTAATGATTGAATAGTTTGCTTTGTTTCTGAACCTTTAGAGGCCAAGTTTAACTTTGTGTATATTTTAATCTCTTAATAAAGAAAATGCAAACATTTTTGTAGAAAGTTTTATTTACGCCAACACATACATGAACAAAGCACCATATAACCTTAAAGTCTGATACAGAAGTAAGCCTACCTGCCTCAGTCATCATGGCCATTTTTATTTATTCCATAGCAAACACTTTGAATAACAAAAAGACAGCCAAGGCAGCAGATTCTATCATATATTACAGCATGCTGAATAGAAAACCTGGGAAAGAATTAAACAGAGCCATCTAGAGACACTAGTGAGATACAACAGTATAAAAGTGCCATTCATTATACAGCAGTTGAAATACTGACAATGAAATAAGCTATTTTTACATTAAATTTATGGAACATAAGGGGGAAACATAAAAGGACTCGACCCTGTGAAATAGCAAAATAAAAACAAAGACATTTTCTTCCTTGAACATTGATGACAGTCAGCTTGCATGGAGTTGATGAAACTGGTACCGAGCTGTGTCCCTTGCACCACATAAGACAATAAATGTTTAAAAAGAAATGACCAGGGTGCTGAAGCACCCATCCCCTCCCAGCATTATGCGCCAACTGGCAATTAAGAAAAAATGATAGGTCAAAGGAGAACGGATGGCACAGAATGTGTGGAGTTTAAATAGAAGTCTTTAAGCAAGTCCTGATGTGAGAGGAGCACATTCATTGAGAGACTGAGCGGGGAGGTGATTCTTGTTAAACCCATTCCTTCTGCTGCAGCGGAGCAAGTCTTCGCCCTTACGAGGGGGAGAATTTTTTGGCTTGTGCTCGAACTCTTTTTTCATATTCTACTCTGTTTTGGCTGGAAAGGGGTTGAAAAATATCAGTTATCATGATGCTCTGATCTCGTATCAGAAACAAGAGGCATTTCCAAACCATTAAAAATTTTGACCAACATGACAGAAGCAGAAAATGCAGGAATCCTTGAGATCTCTTCTGTCAGTTTTATTTTTCCAGGTTGTAAAGCTGGACACCTATTTTAGACAGGTTTTTAACGAAGCCCCCTGAAAAACACTTGTACACAAATTATCTTGTACGCACAAGTTCAAATCAATATCTCCAGGATTCAGAGACATCCATAGGTTTTTAGATGTGAAGCAAACAAAAACCCAGGCTGGAGAACTTTCTGCCCACTTTTTTGTTAAAATGTGGATAAAATAAGCTGCAAAACATTTTGTATTGATTCCAGTAAAAACATATCCAGACGTCCGGTGAGTGCGTGCACACATACACACACAAAAATGAGGATTCTCAAAGTTAAATGTAAGACTTTTTAATACCACCTAGGTTGGAATTTAATACCAACTTCACTGCCATTTAATGGAAAATCTGTATTAATTTTAAGCCCGAGAATGACATTTTGACACCATTTGATGAAATATTCAATGATGAAATATATTTAAATGGGGGGTGCCCTAGAAAATTTTGAGTACTAAACAATTTCCTGCATTCTGGAGACACTGTCTAAACCAATTTATGGTAGAATTGTCTTTATTTAAATAAAGTGATTCAGATTTATTTAGCTTAGACTTTTTTCAACAATGCAGATTTGTTTTTTATCTTTAAATTGCATTGCATGTTTTCTTATTGTGCAAATAGACCTTTCTCAAAGTATTTATTTGTTTTTTTTAACATTTGTTGTTTCAAGCCATTTTTCAGAACATATTTAAGAAATGCTTTTAAAACAGTGATGGAGACATGTCCCCAGTATCCGCAGTGTAAATGACAACTTAAATGAATACAATATTTGTGCACCAAGAACTATTAAGGGGTGAAATCAAAAATACAAATTGTGTGGTATGAGTTGTTGCAATTAGTTACAACACGGCTAGATAAGGTAATGTGATGTAATATAATATGCCAATTGTTTCAGTGATTATTCATCATGTTCTGTTTTTCTAAAGCATCTAAAGGCTGCTTGAAATATAGTATTATATAGTATTGGCTTTAAAGCAGCGGGGATAAGGAGTTGGGCTCCGGTTTGTTTTTCCCTCGTTCGGCGCATCTGGGTGATGCAAGTTTAATGTGCATTAGTTTGAGGTTTCCATTCTCATAACGTTAGCCTACAACAGCGGATCAACGCCGACACACATACATGACCTCGTCTCATGCACACCTGTCTCTCCATTGCAGTCATTACTGCTCGCACGCCGATCAGCATGTTGCGCTAACCTCAGCGCCACTGCCCTCAGCCTTGCCCATTCTGAGTCGTCGAGCTAACGTTAGCGCGTCAGAGACGTTTTCTTTTCTAACAACTGACTGATTCCCGCAGAGCTGAATGCCAAAGCTGTTGCACTTCAGTCCGGAGTGTAAAGCTAAACACTGACGTAAACAGTAACGTTACCTGTACTGCCGCAACAGAGTCACACCAAGCGGAGTATATTATAAAGTCACACACACACGAAGTATTCATTTATGACGTAACGGCATTAATTAAATCCTACGAAAGGACAAGAAAAAACTTAAGACCTTAGTAAATGAAATTTAAGACTTTTAAAGGCCTTATTTTTAGAATATAAAATTTAAGACTTTAAAAGACCCTGCAGGTACCCTGGAGATCTGCAAGTTTAAGAAAATCTAAGTTTGAACCATACTTTAGCCACAGTGCAATAAAGTCAAAGCATGCAAAAAAGTCCAGGACACCCCCCCCCCCCCCCCTCTATAACTTCTACCTCAAGGTTTTGAAGTGCTGCTTTAACTTTACATGGTCTCTCTCCAGACATGCACAATAACCACCATTTCATTTGGGTTGAGCTGAATTACTTTTAAACAACAATATTGATGCATTATCCAAGAGAACAACAAAACGTCCTCCATTACTATTGTATTACCACTGTGCTGTAAGATGTTTGTAGTTTTTCAGGGCAGTTTTATAACTCAGTTTGAACATAGAAACACATTTCAGTAATCACTAACTGACTTCTCGTATCCTTAGCTTCTTACAGACATGCACAGCACGTCCAGTAATTTTACATTTCAGTGTCATGTTTGAAATCCAAAGTCACTCACCAGTAGATTGTGTAAGCCTCTGCTTGGGCTGGATCCTGGATATTTGGTTCATTTAGGAGTTCCTGGATACCTAATAAGATCTGTAGGATAAATGAACCGGTGGGACAAAATCGATTTTAAAAATCAGCAATTAATCTGTTTTGCATTTCTTTACATTGCTGCTTATAATGTGCGTTTGTCGCAAAAGTTCTAGGCCAGTTGCTTGCGGCCCGTTGATTCTGATTAGCTGACCAAATTCTAAATAAAAATTGTATAATTTTTAAGGCACATATCGGTCTTCGTTCTAAGTTTTAAATACCTTTGACAAGGTAGCTGAAACACCTGTTTAAATTTAAATGTAATGTATGCTTGGCAACGCAAACCTGCTTTATTGTGATGGCCGGTCTCCAGTCCTTGTCCTCCTCTAGAATAGATAGGCATACTGTGCCTGATGGATACACATTTGGATGAAAGAGTGGAGGCTCAAATTTACCTGAAAAACACACATAAGTGCCCTTATGTTTTGGATCCATAACAAATGTCGCACAAGATGAACAAATATCCCTAGGCCTTTTCAGAGTAAACACTGACTGAACTGTTCCACTAAAAGGCAGCAGCTCCTGTTGTTCACACAGGCAATGGCTTAAAGTTATTTAAATCTGACATTCAGACAACTCCTCCCCTGTTGCAGGATATTAGAAACATTGTTCCCACAGAGCCCTAATTTTGGTAAAGTAATTATTTGGTTTACAGAAGGGGTACACAACAGTATCAAAAACACTGTTTTGAGCAGACAACAGCCACGGCTGTATCAGCTCTTAAACCATTCAATACTCATTACTAGCAAATGCTGTACAATGAACAGTAAAGGATGCATGTGTGAAAGCACCTACTGGTCGAGTCTGAAGTAGTGAGACTTGACATCAGCTTCAACAACCGCAGCAGTGTTTTAAGCTTGTGCCAGTTTGAGATCAGGGCCAGTATCAAGCTTCTTAAGTGCTGAGAATTCATGACATTTACTCCTACTTTCAAACTTAAGTATAAAAGCAAGTTATCAAATTTCTTAAAGCTAAGAATCACTCTTACTCTCCCAGTTATTTAGGACAGCCCGAGGTGTCTCTCAAGTGGTTAGGAATTGCCAGCAGGGGCTTGTCTTTCAAGAGAGGAAAAATGTTTCTGAATTATTTGATGACATGCTCCAAACACTGTCACGCGTTTCATCGACTTCCCAACAACACCCTGCGTAATCCAAAAGATGCAAACACAATGCTTGAAAACGGCCAGCTTTCCAGGAGTAGTAGGCGCAATTATTGGCACTCATATAAAGATAAAAAAAAAAAAATTTTATATCAATGTATTCTCTTAAACAAAAAAATATTGTTAAATGTGTTTTGAATCTAAACGCCTTTTCGGAATTTCACCATTCAATGTGAACTTATGAGAATTTTCTTAATTAAGGAAATCTGTGATTGGTCCTTGCCTACATCGTCATCCAAAATCCCATTTGTGGCACAGCAAGTTGACGTAAATCAGCTGTAAGACTGACACTTAAAATTTAGACCTACACTTCTCCCAAGAATTTTTTACTCTTAAGTCAGCTCTTCGCAGTGTTCTTAAGAGTAATTCTGAGAAGCTTGATAAATACGGGCCCTGATCATAAATCAATTGAAGGGATGAGCGACAATTTTTCCTGCACCGATATTAATCTGACCATCAGAACTAAGATATTCTGATGCGATTAGGGCCGCAGCTAATGATGGTTTTAGTAATCGAGTATTCTACAGATAATTTCATGGATTCATCGTTTAAGAAGTACTTTTGCTTGGCGGCGGCACTGCCACACCCCGCGCACTCCTCCTGTGACGTTACAACCCAAACTCACGGCCCAACCAGGCGGAGAACAACATGCGCACATGTGTCCATTTACAGCTGAGGATTGCGGCTTACTTTTGACAGCCTTCAACTCTACAATCAATCATGATTTCAGTGAAATACTAAAGTTGCTGTTACTGTTACCTTGTTTGTGGTCC